CTGGGAGCCAGCACGAGCTGGAAGAGGCAGGAGAGATCCTTTCCCAGAGCCATCAGAGCGAGCATGGCTACGCCTGATGTGGGACTTCTGGCCTCCCGATCTGTGAGAGAGTAAGTTTCTGTTGTTTTAAGGCACCCAGTTTGTGGTCATTTAATACAGGCCCCTCTTCTCGACGGCCCCCCACGTTTGCAGGCAGGAGGTTCAATCTTTCCTTCCATCCTTGCAACACATCCCCTTTTACTGCTGAGAACTTCACCCTGGCCCAGAGAGGGGAAGAGAGATGGGGAAGTCACTTACAGCTTTCTCAACATGCCTCCTGCCTGAATTTAGCTCAGCTGTGTAGCTTGTTGAGTCTTCACAGCATTTAAACATTTTTATTTATTTTTATTGTGGAATGGTAAGCGCAGCAAAAGAGACCCGATCACATAATGCCCCACGACTTTTCCTTCCCTACTTTTGTGGGCTCGGCTGTGGAGTCTTGGCTGTGTGGCATAGGGTGAATCAATTAACCTCTCTGAGCTTTGGATTCCTTAATTTTAAAATGGGGAGGTCACAACTTTCTGGCACAAATCACATTTTGACTGCTCAGGTTTGTATCCGTTTAGCATCAGTAAGGAAACTGCACAGTTTTTAATAGGAAAACAAATAAAATGGGGAGAAAAGCCAGTTGTTGTGAGGATTAGATGAGGACAGACGCTAAGCACCTGCTGTCTCTCCGATTCCACCTGAAACCCCATCCTGGGCACAAGCACACTCTTGCTGTGGGACCCAGTTCTTATGCTCATAATGGCTCCTTCAGGGAGGGAGCCAGAGGGTCCTGGACAGACAAGATGCTCAGGGCAGGTCCAAGCCCCTGAGGGCAGCAGGGGACCCAGCTGGCTGTAGTCTGGGTCTCAGGCCTCAGTTTATTTGGGAGGAAAACAGGCACATGGGTGACAAGCAGCTAGTATATGCAGTGTGTTGGTACCAGTAGTTAAATACTGAAATGCTGCTTCTCTACCAGCTGGTAGGGCCCCTGCCCCAGCCCCCGTCCTGGCATTCCAGACCTCCACACAGCCCAGCAAGTAAGACCAGCCACCACGAAGGCCCCCGCGCCCAGTCCTAGGCCTCTCTTCTGATCGAGCTGTTCTGTGGGTAATATTTCTTGGTGCCATGGGGCTGGGGTGGGTGTGGGGTGTCCTGTCCCTGATGGAAAAGGACAGGTGACTTTTGCTGGGTCTCAGTTTTCCTGGGAGGCACAGAAGTCCCAGGGATTTAGAGGAGACAGGTCTCTATCACCCTGTACAAGCCCCATGGAGACTGACAGATGTGAATGTCTGCGCTGGGGGGTCGTGGGGACGTGAAGGGGACAGACGGGGGCTCCTGGACAGTGGGGGGAGGCCCTGAACTGCCCAAAGTCTCCCCACAACTGCACCAGGCAGGGCCGGAGGAGAGCTAGTCTGATGGAAAAACCTAACCAGACGATGAGGCGGACAGCTCAGGAAGAGGTCAGAGGTCAGGGGTCAGAGGTAGTATACTTTATTGACCGGGTTCTCCCGGCATCTTGCAACACCCCCCGGCCAAGCCAGACCTGGGCTTTGCCAGAGTCCCGCCCACCGGGCAAGGAAGAGAACGCATCTCCCAAACATCCAAAGGGCCTCAGAACAGCAAGAGCATGGGGCAGATGTGGGGAGGGGGCTGCCAGCCCGGGGGAGGGGAGAGAGGGGGTTGGGGGCAAGGCAGGGTGAAGGGTCAAGCAGGGTGCTGGGCCGGGGACACCCCAGGCTCCACCAGGCCTGGCCAGCCCCTCACTCCCCCAGTTAAGGTTCATAGTGGTTCACAGTGAGACTGGCTGAGATTTGGAGGCGGTGGGCAGGCAGGCATCCACTACCCGCCCCGCCTCGGCCCGACTCACAAAACTGGGAAGACGGAGAGACAGGAAGCCTCCTCCCCAGTGTCCCCTTCTGGGACAGGAAAGCCCCTTCTCTCCAGGGCCAAAGGGTAGAGGCCTACCCCTCCCCTGACATCCCCCAGGCCCTTAGGAAGGGTCATTCACTCCCGGCTCTGAAGTTTCTAGAACTTCTCAGTGAATTGCCCATCGTTACTCCCAATTAGAAAAATGTTTTTGAAATCTAGGAGTTGATTGGGGCCCATCAAACCAAACAGTAAAAAACCTGGTTAAGATCTTGGTTTAAAAAGGTAGCTGTACCTTCACTTAGAAACCGTGGGAGACCAGATGGACAGACCAGTGGTGTCTCCACCGCCCAGCCTGGAGGGTTGGCTCATGGCAGCAGGGGGCCGGTGGTGGCTGGGGGAACAGGGTGGGAACCAGGGGCAAGATGCAGGAAGCGGTGACACGTGAGACACGGCAGGTGGCCCTCCGGTGCCATGGGCCTGGGCTTGGAGGGCAGCGGGGGGGCCCCCCAGGGCACATTTGCCAGGCAGGCGCCGGGGCCTCTGCCCCACCGGGAGAGGCAGGGCCCAGGTCAGGCATTGTGGCTGCCGTTGCCCGGGGGCTCCGGGTGGCCGGCTGTGTAGTCCGAGGCAGGCTCGAGCCCCAGCATCTGGCGCTGTACCAGCTTGGCATAGAGGCCGCCCTGGGCCAGCAGCTGCTGGTGGGTGCCCTGCTGCACCACGCGGCCCTTGTCCAGCACCACGATGAGGTGCGCCCGCTCCACCGTGCTCAGCCGGTGCGCGATGATGAGCACCGTGTGCTTCTGCAGGTTGCCGTGGATGGCCTGCTGGATCTGGGGAAACAAGAGTGGCCCGCCTCAAAGGGTGGCCACCTCGGCCACCCGCCACCCTGCCCGGTCCTGGTTCGGTTCCCAGATCTCCTATGTCCTAGGGCTGCTCAGCCTCTCTGAGGCGTCCTCGTGTGTAAAGTGAGGGCTTGCACAGGATCTGCTCCCTGGGGTTTTCTTCCACGGGAGACAGAGCTCTGAGCCTGGCACCAGGGCAGCACTCAGAGAGTGACAGAGGGGTCCCCAACCTGGTGGTCTTCTCTTCCTGCTCCTTCCTCTAACTTGGGCCTTGGTTAATGGCCTCACCTTAGCCCCAAAGCTCATGCTGACCAAGCCAGGCATCACCTGCAGCTCCTCATCCTGCCTTCATCACCCGAATCCATCCCATCGGCAAAGGCCGCAGATCCCAGCTTCCCGGGGTATCTGGTCCTGTTCCCTCCGTACACCGCTGCCACCATTACTTCTCGCCTGGATGCCTGCAACTGCCCTGCACCCTTCCATTTCCCATGTGGGTTTAGTATTTTTAATCAGTTCTTGCTGAACTCCTGCTCCCAGCCCTCCAGAAGCTTCTTGTTCCATTTAGAATAAAATCCAAACTCCTGGGGGAAGTTTTAGGGACGTAAAACTTTTCTGCAGAACATGACATTCTGCATTTGTCAGAATCTAGAATGCATGGCACAAACAGTGACCCCCTGTCGGGAACTGTGGCCCCGAATTAGTAACAATGCATTCATACTGGTCCGTCGGTCGGAACCAAGGCACCGCTAACGCAAGATGTTAATAACAGATGACACGGGGCGGGGGGGATGAGGGGGGATACCAGAACTCTCTGTACTTTCTGCTTAATATTCTTTCAACCTAAAGCCTAGTCTAAAAAAATAAAATCTATTGATGAAAAACAAAATGCAAACTCCTTCCTAGGGCCTGAGGAGCTGGTGTCCCTTATGACCGTCCTTGCCTCACGCTGCTCGGCCCCCGGCCACCAGCCACGCTGACCTTCGGGCTTGGCTGTGGACCTGCTCCGGGCCTTTGCCCCTGCGGCCCCTCTTCCTGGGTGGGACGTTCTTACCCGGATCCCCGCAGCTCCTTCCCTTTCTGGTCTCAGCCTGACAACCCTGGCTCTGTTGGTGCGAACTGCAAGCTTCCTGGCCTGTGTGACCCTATCCAAAGCCTGCACTAAGACGGCCACACTCCAGCGGGCCTTCGGCACAAGGCCTTATCCCTAAGGATGACCCCAGCCCCTAAATGCTCGGCACTGCTGAGAGCATTGACTGTTCCAGCCAACACGTGACGGCGGGCCCCTGAGCTCCCTTTCTGAGAGCATTTACCAAAAACGGCTTGTAACTGTAAATCCTTCCTCTGTCCCTTGGAGATATACATGCAAATCTCCTAAAACTCAGGAATGTCTTTCTCAAGGACCTGACCGCCATTCCTTTGAAGTGGAGTCATCGGAAGGACGGTGCATTTCCCAGTGGAGGACAGAATCCTAACTCCAAGAGTTGCCCGCTGCTGGCTGCCTTCGCACTGACACCGTCCAGCCCTTCACAAGTTTCCCCCGATCCCCGGCTTTCTCCCCCTCCCTATGCCCTCATCCTCCCTTCATTATTTTTTTTAAGTTTTCTTTTTTTTTTAGTGAGGTATTGGGGATTGAATTTTTTAAGTTTTCTTTTTTTTTTTTTAGTGGAGGTATTGGGGATTGAACCCAGGATCTCGTGCATGCTAAGCACACATTCTAGCACTGAGCTATTTCCCTCTCCCCTATTCTCCCTTTAAAATGAGACTCAAGGGGGTAAGAGACTTGCTCAGGTTGTGAGCTGCAGGAGGGGGCTCCTGATCCATGTCCCACGTCTCCTGATCCTAGCCCAGTTCCATTCAGCTTCAGCTCTGCCCAGAGCCAGTAGGCTGGGCCAGGCTGACCAGGCTCCAGGCTTCCTCTGCCTGCTCGGCTCCCTGCCCTCAGCATGGAACTCCCTCGCCCAGGAAGCTGACAGCCTGGGAGAGCCCCTGTGGCGGACTCTGAGGTCTTCCCAGCCTCCCTCTGCTGGGTGGAGGGGGCACTCTGGCAACCTGGAGCTGTTCCTGTTTCAGCATCCCCCGCCCCTGTACAACTTACCAGGTACTCGCTCTCTGCATCCAGGGCACTGGTGGCTTCATCCAGGATGAGGACAGGTGGGTTCCGCACCAGAGCCCGGGCCATGGCCACTCGCTGCTTCTGGCCCCCCGACAGCTGGGCACCCTTCTCCCCCGTCTCTGCACAGGCACAGGGGCAGGTGAGCGGGAAGTGAGGCGGGGCAGCGCCTTCCTCCCCATTTCCCTGCTGCCACGGGAGTTGGGCTCCCCAGGAAAAAGTGTGGCTACAAGGGCCACTGGCTGAAAACCTCATGAAAGGATGCTCTTCCTCCCTGTTCGTAAGAGGCGTGCAAATTACGATGATACGTAATTGGTACCAAGATGTCAATTTTTACTTATTTGGCAAAAATCCAAACGTTTGATAATACACTGTGCTGGTGGGGCTGTGGGGAGACAGGCACTCCCTCGTCTTCCTGGGGTATAGCTGGTACAATTCCTCTGCTGCAGTGCACACAACTTTCTGTTGAGCTGTGCTGTGCAAGCTTACGGATCACAATTACAGATGGACAACCCTTGGGCCAGCAAACCTATCTCTGTGAATGTCTATAGATTCACTTTCTCACGCACAGGGACACAGGCATGTACTGTGCATGACTCAGCACTTTTACTGTGAAAAATTCCCCACAAAACTGAAAAACCAACTCAAACGTCCATCAATAGGAAACTGAGGGAATTAGTTAATTTCCAGTGAATTATTATAAAGCCACACAATAGAATACTATGCAGCGGTTAAAAAAAACAGCTTTTTAGGTATCAGTGTGGAAAGATCACTTTAAAAAGTCAGGTGCAGAATATAAGGTGCTGAGTTTTTTTTCTGTAAAAGGGCAGGAAGGAATAAAAATACATTCATATTTGCATAAAGAAACCCCAAAAGGATATGTCAGAAACGATTGAAAGAAGTTTTAGTGGGGGCGGGAAGAAGCCGGCAGTGAAGGCCCGGATGAAAGAAAACTTCTCACTGGATATTGTTACGTATTTTTTTAGTTTTTAAAAAATTTATTATTTTTAAAAATTAATATTATATTTTTTAGTTTTGAACTATGTGAATAACCCAGTTGCCAAGAGTGAAAATTTTAAAATATATTAAATAGAATATGTAAGTTAATACATTGTTCAATTTATTAAACGAAATTATTTTACTTCTATAAAGTTAAACAACTATAGTTAATGGAATACATATATTATTTTAAATAATAATGTTTTGGAACTAAATAGAGGTGGTGGTTGTAAGTACTGTGAATGTACTAAATGCCACTGAATTGTTCACTATGAAATAGGTTTGTGCTGTGTGAATTTCGCCTGAAGTAGTAAGAGCAGCTGGCAGAGGCCAACACGTGACCCAGAGGCTGCGTCCCTGCGGGTGGACCTTTGGGCCCGGGGGAGGCCGTGCCCCGGGCTCTGTACCTGTGTTGTAGCCGTCCTGGAGCTCCGTGATGAAGCCGTGGGCATTCGCCTTCTGTGCAGCCTCCACCACCATCTCGAAGGGCACGGTGGGCAGGCCATAGGAGATGTTGTCTGTGATGGAGCGGGCGAACAGCACCGGCTCCTGGCTCACCAGGGAGATCTGCGGAGGAGGGAGGAGGAGGCATGAGAGGCCGGGAACGCCTCTGTCCAGCTGTCACCTGGAGCTCACCAGCCCTGGGCCCGGCTGACGCCAGGGGCCTCAGGTCAGAAATCTGATCAGGGCCTGCGCCCGGCTGCCACATCCAGCTGCCTCTCTTCTTTCCAAACAGTGGAGTCCACTTGCCACACAAGCCCTCAGCCGTCCCGACAAACTGGGGCCCACTCCACTAAGCCTGCCGTCTGCTCTGGGCTAAGCCAAGCTCCCTGACCCCCAGGACAGAGCTCACCCCGCTGCCCCTGCCCCGGAAGCAGAGACAGAAAAACAGCACGGAGTGTAACTCTGAGGAGTCTGTTCGTGCCAGGAGGCAGGCCCCAGCCCACAAAGACCTCCCGGGCTGGTACTCCCTCCCTCTAAGAGAACAATTTAAAGGCGCTGTTGTCCCACGGCCCCAGTCTCAGGAATTCGCATGCAGTCAGAGGATGTCATGGCAACACTGTAAGTGGCGAAAAAGGAAAAAATATAAAACCTAGTTGTCTGTAAATTGAGGATTGGTTAAATGATTACAGTGTACTCATACAATCAAACTGCAATGTATATATCACAATTCTAGACTTCTTTAAAAAAAAAGAATATGTGCCTTTATATATAGATATGTTCAGGAAACAGGTTGGAGAGGTTATTGACTGAACTGCTAACACTGGTTCCTGTCATGGGGTAGAACTCAGAAGGTGAGAAGGAGGGGAATTCTCATGTCTTTGTTATAAAATTCTCTGAATATATGGGAATGTGGTTATTAGATTGTTGAGTTTTACTGTTTTGGGTTTATGAAAATTAAAAATTTAAACTTAAAGATAGGGTATTCACAAAAGGAAATCCAAATGGCCACAAACATATGAAAAGGGACTTCATATCTTTAGTCATCGGGAAAATGCAAAAAGACCTCAGTGAAGGACCTCTATAAATATTCACCTCTAAATACAGGCTCAGGGCTGACAGTATTAACTGTCGGAGAAGACTAAATGCCTGAGCGTGTTAACTACTGCAAAGCCAGACAGCTGTGTCCAGGGGCCACTTCCAGAACTTGAGTGGGCAGCAGCCTGGTGGTGGCACATCTGGGGCCACTTCTCCACATCTTTCCCTGGTTATATATACACAGGTGGGAAGATTTCACAATGTGTGGCCTCCACCAGCACCTACAATTTGGCCGGGAGTTCTGGAATCTCTGTGCCAACTCTCAGGCTGTCATATAACTTAATGTATGTTGATGATGTACATGGTGCCTGCTTAATAGTTGGTGTTTCTTGTATAGTATGCAACCTGAACAACCATCCAGGGCATCCCTGCTCTTATGCCAGCACAGGATCAGGTGGTGGGTCTACTTTTCTGAGAGGATTACCAAAAACTGTATGGTCATGAATAGCCTCCTTTAAGTACTGGAGATAACTTAAATGTAGGACAATTGGAACGCTCATCTGGGAGTGTAAAGTTAAATTAAAAAAAAAGTAAACCACCTTAATGGCTACACCTTAATGGCTACTGCTAAAGTTGAGGATATGCATTTACTCTGGGAGGACGTACCCACCTGTGTGCACCGGGAAACATGGACAAAATTATCCATGTCAGTATTGTTGGTAGCAGTAAAAAACAGGAAACAACCCAAATATCCATCAAGAACAGAATGTGTAAATAGACTGTGACATGTTTACACAGTGGATTATCTTCCAGCAATGAAAGTGGATGAACTACAAACGCAGCCTCAACCTGAAAAACTCACAAACAATGTTGAGTGGAAGGAGGCAAGACACAGAAGATACACACTTTATGATTCCCGCCAGGTGAAGTTCAGAACCAGCGAAACACAGCTGTGCTGTCTGGGGAGGCACACAGAGACGGTAAAACAAAAGAAAAGCAAGAAAATGATGATCATAAAAGTCACGTGAGACATTGCTTCTTGGGGGGAAATGAGGGGCTACATGGGGGGCTTCTGGAGTGCTGGAATGTTCTATTTCTTGACCTGGATGGTGTTACATGAACTGTATGTGTGTCCTGAACACTCTTGTCTGCATCCGCGTTAGACCCCCCAGGAGAGAAGGTTAGACAAGAAAAGGCCCATCCACGTACCACTCGGTGCAAGTACTTGTGGTCATAGGCGCTGATGGGCTTCCCGTCCAGCAGCACGCGGCCCCCCTCCAGCGGGTAGAAGTTCTCCAGGATGTTGACGCAGGAGCTCTTCCCACTGCCTGACGGCCCCACGAGCGCAGTCACCTTTCCTGGGGACAGGCTGAAGGAGACATTCTGCAAGGAACACGCAGACATGGTGTGGGGCTGCTGGCTCAGGGGCTCTGGCCTCAGATGCAGGTGGGCACCCTTCCCAGCCTGCCCCATTGCTGGCCCCCTGGAATGCTCCCCTTTCCAGGATTTGGCAGCACTTTTATACTTGTTTCTTTTGCCTGGAATGTTCTTTCTGCTGAGAGCCACCTGGCTGGCTCCTGTTCCTTGTTTAGGTCTCAGATCAAATGTCACCTCCTCTGAGAAGCCCTCCTTGACTGCTAATACCATCTCTGCAGACTACTCCATCACACTACCCTGATTTATTGCCTTCCTAGCACTTATCCTGGAATCCTTTTGTTAATGATCTGTCCTCCCCAGTTAGAGCCCAAACTCTAGGAGGAGAAGGGCTCTGCCTTTTGTGTTCCCAGCTGCACTGTCCTGGCCTGTGCACAAGAGATGGGATAAGGGAAAGGGTGATTTGGGTGGGCCTCGAGCCCCTTCTCACCTGCAAGACTTGAGTGTGGGGCCGAGTGCGGTAGCTGAAGGTCACATTTTCAAAGTCCACCCGGCCCTCCAGGTGGTCAGGGGCCAAGTTCCCGTCATGCACCATGGTTGGCTGCCGGTCAATGAACTCGAACACCTTCTCTGCAGCCCCTACTCCTTGCATCAGGCCACTATAGACGGAGCCCACGGACTGCGGGGGGAGTAGACATATGTCCCTGTTCCAATGACACCCCAACCCCGGGACCACCCCCTGCGCCAGAGGGAAGAAGAGGGGTGCAGAGAGAGCAAGAACACACAGCCGTTCTGGGGGCGCTGCAGGAGGCTGCTGGAGCCCCACCTGCTAGTACAGCAGATCATGACGAACATGAGGACAGCAATAACAAGGACTGATGCCAATTGTGTCACAGCTAAACCTCACTGTCGTCCAGCAGAGTAGCTGTTGTCACCCTTACCCACCCCGCCCTGCCCCCAGAGGAGGAAACGGAGGCGCAGAGAAGTTAAATGAACCAGCCGGAATGTGGCCAAACAGGAATGAAACTTCCTCTTCAGCTGCCACCGAATTTTAAAATTTCAATTTAAAATATGGCTCTTGATGTGTACTATACACCTCCTTGGGTAAAAACATACACCGTATGAGTGTGAACAATGGCTCATTTCACTGAGGACCTTGTATATGTTACGAGGTACATTCTATCATCTCCTTTTGGGTGATGAGGAAATGGAGGCACAGAGAGCTTAAGTAACTTCCCCCAGTCACACAGCAGGGAAGTGGCAGAGCTGGGGCCAGAACCCAGGCACGTCTGGCTCCCAAGTTTAGGCCCTTACAAGCTGTGACTGTGTGTCCTAGTTAATGAAATGGGGGTACTACCATGATTAATACTAGTCATAGTTCTGTGAAGATAGTGCCTGGCACACAGTAAGCCCTCGATAGGCCACAGCTACAGCTGTTATTGTTAATATCCAGCTATAATTATTCATATTGAGATACAAGTGCTGTGTAGAAGTTGGCCTTCCTGCCTCATCCCAGAAGTGGCCCCAGTTATCTCAGGACTGTATCTTTCCAGTCCTTTCTCTGTCCGTTTACAAATAAATGTGCATATATAATTAAATAATTTTGAGATTGAAAAACACCCTACAAATGGGATCAGACCAATCCTATGACTCGGGGATTAGGGGCCAGCTTTTTCACTAACAGTGTGTCCTGGGGTCCTCTCCACGCCAGAGCGCACAGCTCTGCCGCATCTCTCTGGCTGCTGCCTCGTTTTCACAGCACAGACGAACCGTTCCTGGAATGCAGGTGGACCGTATTCACCCCATCCCAGCTTGATGGGCATTTGTTTTAACTTTTCACAATTAACAAACATGCAGTGAACATCCTGGGACTCTCGTCTGTGCCCACCGGTAAGGGTGTTTCTGAAGCATGGGCTCCTAGGTGCTGACTCAAATGACACTGCGCGGACCAGTGGAGCAAATGCAAAGTGCCTCCTGCAGCCGTGGCTGACCCGCCCCTCCCCGCCGAGGGCTTTGTCGGGGGCGGGAGGCGGACCGCGGGATTAACACCGCCACTCCGAGCATCCTCCGGCAGTGACTGCTGGCGGCCTCAGCCAGCGCGCGTGCTGGTGCGGGAAGCCAAGTTAGGACATTATCTATTTTAAATAATCCTTCTTTTTTTTCCTTTTTAATCCATGGAGCTACTCTTTAAAGTGGGCTAAAATAAAGTCAGACCATCTGGCTTTGAACTCAGTTCCCCCCCAAATGTGGTGGGCAAGTCGTTTAAGCTCTGAGCCTCAGTTTCTTTTTCTGAGAAGTGGGGGCCGGAGACCTCGCGTGGTGCTCCCAGGGCAACCTGAGGTAACCCTTGCGGCTGCCGCTCTGCTCCGTCAGGGGTCCCCTGTCGCTTATTAATAGTGGCCTCAGTATTGGTATCGTTACCTTCTCTTCCCCACCAATTTTAGAAAGAAACGCCATGCCCCGTGGGCCCTGGAGGTCCGCCTCCCACACCTCTCCCTTCTCCCAGGACCCCTGTCCCCCAGCCGGGCCCCTCACCTCCATACAGTCGCCCAGGACAAACTCGTAGATAATGAAGGAAATGAGATTGCCGCTGGTCATCTGCCCCGAGATGACGAGGTGGCCCCCGTAGTAGAGGATGCTGACCTGGACCACCAGCAGCGTGATCTGAAGGGCAGAGGGAAGGGGGATCTGAGTCACGGGGGCCCTGGCTCAGACCGCCCCGTCTAACCCCTCCACTCCCCACCCCGCAGGCTGCAGGGGAGGTGACAGTAGCTATGGGCTCCACACTCAACTGAAACTCCGATCAGCAGCAGGGCTGGCCTCCCACGAACTGGTGCCACTCTGTCACTCATGCCCTCCCCACCCCCAACCATGGAGTTTTCCCTGCAAAGGCCCCCAGCTGGATTGGGCCACGAGCCTGGCTGGGAACAAGGCTTTCTTTGTAAGGCCTTAGCGTGCACACACACACACACACACACACACACACACACGCAGCCCCTAAGCGCCTCAGCTGGGCCAAACTGGAGCTATTAGTCTTCCCCTCATTGGGAAGAGCGTGGCTCAGAGTGGTTGAGTCCACTGGCTAAGGTCACACAGCAAGCCAGGCCAGAGCAGATGAGGATGTCTGGATTTCCACAAAGGAGGGGCTGTGTCCAGGGCATGCTTACCTCCTGCCCGCTCCGGCACCTGGGGTTGTGTCTGGGAGAAGTGGAACCTGCTTACCTGTGACAACCCACTCAGGGTCCCTATTTGCCCCTTCCCACCCCAAGACCACAGTGCCTTTGCACAAGCAGCAAGAGGAGCCCCTGCGGTGGGCAGATTCCAAGAGGCTTGGCTAGCTGAGCTGATTCAGACCCTTCTGCCCTCTGGCTGGGCGCTTTTGAGGGGTGGCCTACCCCCGGCGGACCCAGATGGCCCTCATCCCCTGCTTCCCCGTAGCCCACCAGCTCCTTCCTCCCCTTAAACTCCAAGCCCTCTTCATTCCTCCCCCAGCTACTCCCCGACAGCCCACCCTCAGATGCAGCCAGCACAGTGACAGGACCCACATGCTCCTCCAGGAGGGGCTGTAACTCATCCCCAGGGAGTGAGCAGGACACGACTGGGCTGTATGTGGTTGCGACACAGGACCTGCCAGCAAGTGGCCTAGGTTGGGTCCTGGCTGGGCTTGGAGTGGCTCCCCTCCTTGGCAGGGATGTTTCCTCAGCTGAGAAAACAAAGTTCCTGCCTTGATACCTCACACCCAGGTAAGAGGCAAACAGGAGGTACCCTGTGAAGACATTCACCAGGAGGCTGCCTTCCTTCCCAGAACATTCTCCAAGGACAAGCAAAAAGTTGGGACAAAGTCAAGTGTCACACCAGCATGCAGGGACCTGGGCTAATGCCTTGATCAAGGGCACCCCTGTCTTTGTGTCCTGTCCCCTACACGGTCAGACCTGCCCAGGCCGGGGGCACGTACCCCGCTGCCCCAGACGTAGCACGTGTAGGCGGCAGCCTCCTTCCTGTTCAGCTTGTACACCTGCTGCAGCTTCCGCGAGTACACCTCCGCCTCCTCCTCCTCGTTGGCAAAGCTCCGCACCGTCTTCATGGCGCTGATGGTCTCCTCGGCCGTGCTGCTGGCTCTGGCCAGGGCATTCTGGACCTCTTTGGAGAGCCTCTATGGGCAGGAAGTGGGGACAAGAAGGAGGAGACCCCAAAACAGACAGTCTCACTGTCTACCTGGGCCCCCAGGCCTCTCTGGGGCTTTCCACCTTTAGCTGGTGCCAGCTCTGTGCAGGGAGCTACAGGGACAAGAGGCGAAGACCTAGCTCCCGCTTCTCCCCCATCGCCTCCCAGCTTGATCTGATGAACTCAGAGCACAGCCTCCAGCTGGGCTCTTGGGGTGAGTTCCTGGGCTCCAGCTCCTGAAGGATCAGTAAGTCAGCTCCAGCTCTCAGAGGAGGTTACTCATGACCATACAGTTTTTGGTAATCCTCTCAACACAGGAGTCTCAATACCTGATCCTGTGCTGGCATAAGAGCAAGGATGCCCTGGATGGTCGTTCAGGTTGTACATGACACAAGAAACACTCACTACTAAGGAGACACCGTTTACATCATCAACATACATTAAACTATATGAGAGCCTAAGGGTTGGCACAGAGATTCCAGAACTCCTAGCCAAGTTCTAGGTGGCAGTGGAGGCCACGGGCTATGAAATCTGCCTGCATCGTGTGTTTCTAACTGGGGATGGATGGCTGAGAAGCAGTTCCAAGCATATGACTCCCAGGCTGCCACCCACCAGAGTTCTGGAAGCAGTCCCTGGGCAGTGCTGTTCAGGCTTTGCAAATAGTTACCACACTCAGAATCTCACACCCACTGGGAAGGCTGCCCGAGAGCGGGATGGGTGCATACACAGGCATGTCCAATGACTCGCAGGCCATCGGAAGTATGCAGTGTCCCAGGATCCTGGGAGGAGCCATGCTGTGCCTTGAGTCATGTCTGGCTGTGGGCGATGTGTGTGGCTTGTGATGATGACTCGGTGGCTGTATTTGACACATTCGGGTGCAGGCACAAGACCTAAATAGAACTTCCTTGAGGCCTCACCCAGCTGAACTCGAAGGTGGAGCCTGAGGTGTGCACAGAGGTGGGGCTGATGCGGGCAGCTCCAGGGTTTCCTGCCCCGCTCCCAGGGGCTGGCAGGAAGGCAGGAAGGCAGGAAGGGCGGGGTGGGGAGCAGAGGAAGGGAAACGGCTCCGACTCCGACTCATGTATTTACTTTCTCTGCTCAGGGAGGAAAACAGCAAGGCCGGGGACCCAGAACTGCAGGGGAGAGGGCCCTCCTGTGAGGGGGCTCAGCCAGAAGGTGGCGCAGTGAGTTGTGGGGAACGGGTTCATTTGGGGGCTCAGGTCACGGGCACCCGGGGTTCCGGTCGAGCTGGGGATGCTGAGCTGATCACATGTCAAAGCGCCCTGCTCAGGAGGCCCCCGCCTCCCTCAGGCCTGGGTCACTGGGGAAGGGACCGCCTGCACTGTCTGAATCCAGCCTGGGGCCCTTGGGGGTCAGGGGTGCCCACCATCGTGGAGAGCAGGAGGAAGAAGAGACGGGGCCCTGGCTGACCCTTCTGGCGGAGGGGTGGCTGGAGGGCACTGCTGCCTGCCCATCACTGCATCCTAGGTGAGAGCCTCACTCACAGAGCCTGAGTCACCCCAGCGTGAACATACACTCCATAGAAGCACAGCAGAATTTGCACTCAAGGTGGAAACCAAACTTCTCACAAAGGCCTACACCATTTGGCCCCGTCACCTCCCTGCCCTGGTTTCCTATCCCTCCCCTTGCTCCTGGCTGCAGCCTCCCCAGTCTCCCTGAGGCTCCTCAGACACACCAGGCACATTTCCGCCTCAGGGCCTTTGCACAGGCTGTGCCCGCTGCTTGGAACATGCTTCCCCAAGATGTCCACCTCTTTATGCAAATACCACCTTCTCAGAAAGACCTGTTTAAAATTGCAACCAGCCTCAGTGTTCCCAACCTCTCTCTCCATTTTTCTCCTTAGCGCTTACCATTACACATTTTCATTATTTTTGTTGTTTTCTGTCGGTCTCTCCTATTAGAATATAAGCTCCCTGAGGGCAGGGGCCCTGTCTGTCTCATTGGTGTCTCCCGCTGCCTGGGACACAGCTGGTGCTCAATAAATATTTACGGAGTGACTGAATGAATAAGGGAATGACTGGAAATGTAGCCTGAAGATGAGTCCTTGCGGGCCCCCGGGGCTGCCGGGCCCCCCGGGCCCCAGCAGGGACCGGGCATGGCCTACCTTGTAGTACTTGCCGTAGATGTCGGACACCATCATGATAATGGGGAAGCCCATGAAGGTGACCAAGGACAGCTGCCACGAGAGGCTGAACATGAAGACCACCACGCCCGTGACTTTGACCGTGTTCCGCAGGAAGATGTTGATGTTCTGGGAGACCAGGTCGCTGACCATGGTGGTGTCCGAGGTGAGGCGGGAGATGAGGTCCCCTGGAACACAGGCAGCTCAGCTCCCGCTGCGGCGACAGGGCCACTTGCGGGGTTCAGCGGGGCCGGTGGGGGAAGAAAAGCAGGTGCCCCTGAGGGCTGCCCTGAGCCCAGCCCTCGTCACCAGCATCTTGTTTCAGCATCAGGCCCTCCCACAGCACAGAGGAAGCAGCTGAGGTGCAGGAAGGGGGAGAGGCTCGCTCGGCGCCCCACACTGTATCCATAACGGAGCTGGAGCCAAACTCACAGCTGCTCCCTGTCACTGGCAGAGGGTGAGTCCCCTCTCCCCTCAGAGGGATCCTAATCTGGGCTGAGGGGGAGGAGGGAGGGTCAGACAGCCCTTTACCCATCGCTGCATACTGGGCTAAGAACTTCACCACAACCCACTCCTGTTCCCATCTCACAGGAGAGAAAACAGAGGCTCCGAGAGGTGAAGTTAGTGCCAAGACCCAGGCTGGTCTGCCTCAGAGCCTGGACGGCAGCCTTCCGTGCTCTGCCTGGATGCCCGCCCGGTTCATCCTCAGAGGAGCTGCGCCTCCCAGGCCACAGGCTTGGGCAGTCCTGGCCCTTGTGGTCCCAGAGGGCAATGGGAGGTGACGCCTTGGCTGCTGCAGGGACATCGGGTGGCCTGGCTAGGGACCTATAGTGGCCGCAGCTCACACCAAAACCTCAGCCAGCAGGCCAGCTCCCAGGGCTCGGGCAGGGCCACAGGCCCGAGCCCGCCTCCCAGGCTATTCCCATCCTGAACTGGACGGCAGGAGAAGCCGGCGGGGCTGAGCCCACCGACAGACCCATTTAAATCCTCAACGCAAGGCAAGCCAACCTGGTCAGGCCCAGCCCCAGGTCACCCGAGGCCCGGTGGGGGGACCAACCTGTACGATTCTCGTCAAAGAAGCTCGTCTCCTGAGACACGAGTGAGCGGAAGAGACGGTTTCGAAGGCGAATGTTCAGTCTGGCAAATATGAGGGTAAAAATGCCGCCCCGAATACCTGCGGCAAATGAGCTAATTGCAGATAAGAGATGTTATACATAGCACGACGTCCTCGACAACCAGCCAGCACCCCCCCCGCCCGCTGGCAGGCCTGCGCCCCTCGCGGGGTGGGGACCGCGCGGGACCCCAACCCTGAGCCCACTCTCTGGGGCCGGCACCTCCCTGCGGTCTCCCTGTTCCCAACGGGAGCCCCCTGAGGTGAGGGCGCCGAGGGGACTGTGCTTACTGCGGGCGAGGAACCCAGACCCCTCTCAGTCCCAGAACCACACGGACAAGGCTGGCCCTTGTTTCCCGCGTGGAAAACAGCCAGAAGAGTGAAAGGGGAAGCCCGAGGACTGAAGCCATTTTTAGGGACAAGAGGGTGTGTCTCAACTGAATGGACAGAACTAAGGCAGTTGGGCTGTTGTTCACCACGGGGACCAGCTGAGGGACAGGCCCCCGGGGGCATTTCTTGGGCCTTCCTGGCGCATCTTTCTCTTAGGAGCTGACCCCGACCCCCTGCTGCCGGCGTGGGGGGCTGGGGCAGGGCGTGGGGCCGAGGGCCGGCTACCTGCCGATGGCCAGCGCACACATGACGATGACGGCCGTGCTGAACTGCTCCATGCTCTTCTGGATGACGATGCCGTCAATGGCCCGGCCGGTGTAGTAGGGGAGGAAGGTCTCTCCTGCCGGGAGACGGGCGGGCTCAGGGGGCATCTGCAACCAGGGAACCCGTGTCCTTCCTCCTGGAAGCCCCCGTATCACCCGCCCTGCTCATTCCACCCGTGGGGTTTTCTCTCTCAGAAAACAGGGAAGGCGCTTCGCCTGCTTAACGCCCCTTCTTTTCAGAGAACAGGAACACGGGAAACGTGGACTATTCATCTATACGGACTGGGTTGTGTTATTAATAGTGGCTACCAGGCATCGAGCACACAGAGCCAAGGGGCTCCCGTGCGACAGTTCAATCCCTCTGTACGTGGATCTGTGCCACCCCTGATGCTACCCATTTTACAGATGGGGAAAGTGGACCTGAAAAGACCACGTAGCAATGGGTAGCTGACAGACGCCAAATTTCACTTCCTTATTCTCTTTGGCTGAGGGTCCAGAGTCCAAGTTCTAGGACCTCAGATGTTGCTATTCTGGTTCTGAGCCCTGCTGGGCAGTGCCACCCCGCCCCTCTCGGGTGCGGCACTTCAGTTTGCCAGATAACCTCTTACCCATATGTCTTGCTGTATCTTCACAGCAATCTTGGGTAGGAATGAGGAGAGGGGGTGGGGCAGGGAGGTCACCCCGATTTCACAGAGGTGGAATGGGAGACTCAGAGAGGCTGAGTAATTTGCCCAAGGTCACAAAGCAATTAAGAGGAAGAGCCAGGACTCAAACCCACACCGGTTTCCAGTGTGGGGCTTGTTCCCTGCGCCTTCCCTCCCAATAGCCTGGAATGAATGCCCACTCTCATCTGCTGGAAATGATGGACATGGAATGGATAGTGCTCAACCCGGCTGGGCCCCGTATTTTCACTGCAGTTCTTTCTTCCAGTACAGTCTGGCTCAGGGCTGGGCATACAGCAGGCACTCAATAAAGTTCAGCAAATGAACCCTGGGCAGGCCTGGCTGCTCACCACTCCCCTCAGCCCCTACTCCCAAGCAGCTCTACAGGACTGTCTCAGCCAGGATGCTGAGGCCTTCCGTGGGGTTCTGGCGCCCTCTGCTGGTCTTGGTACGGCGACCACAAGGTGGCAGCTCATAGGACCTTGGTCTCCCCTCCCCAGTCCTCGCCAGATGGGGTCTCCAGCCACCACTGTGAAGCTCTACCTCCACTGAATTTCTGCCTCAGTTTACCCACAGGAAAGTAAAGGGCATCATGAGCCCCAGCAGCATTTTGATTCCAGCAAGCACCAGTGATGATAGTAACCACGACAGACGCTTATCGAGCCCTTGCTGGGCGGTGTGCTGTGCTAAGCAGGTAGGCAGACTCTTTTTGTCGAATCTGCATGAGGTCCACGTGAAACTCTCCAATCTGTCAGTAAATCCCGAGGCTCTGCCTTCAAAACATTTCCAGAACTTGCCGCCTCTACTGCCCTACCCGCCTTCGATAATCTCACTTGGACCATCTCAGCAAACTTCAGGCTCTCCCTGCTGCCACCCTTGTCCCCGTCAGCCTATTTTCCACTCAGCAGACAATGGGGGCCTGTGAAACCCAAGTCAGATATTGTCAGCCCTCAGCTCAAAACAGTCCAGTGGCTCCCAACTCATCCAAGGTCAAAGTGAAAGTCCCTACAGTGGCCAGCGGCACCCTATGCCACCCGGTCCCTGCTACTGAGCTGCCTCCTCTTCTACTTTCTCCCCACTCACTCTGCCCCAGCTATGCTGGCCTCTGCTTTTCCTTTAACAACCAGGCACCTTCCTGCCTCAGGACCTTTGCACGGGCTGTTCGGGCTGCCTGCAGCACTGTTACCCCAGATATCTGCTCTCTCATTTCTTTTAAGTCTCAAATGCCTCCCTGTAATCCCAGAGGTATGGTATCATCATTCTTCACATTTTACAGATAAGGAAACTGAGGCTTAGAGAAACTAAGTCATTTGCCCAAGGTTATGCAGTTAGGATGCCATGAAATGCATATTAAAGGATCTCAATTTAATAGGAAATACTAAAACTAAACACTAAAACTAACTTTTTGCGGGGGGGAAGTGTAGGTCAGTGATAAGGCACATGATTAGCATGCACAATGTCCTGGGTTCAATACCCAGTACCTACGTTAAGTAAATAAACAAACAAATAAATAAATATGGTTAAACCAAGTGAACTGTAACTGTAAAAAAAAAAAAACCCTGATTTTTGAGGGGAGGGTAGAGCTCAGTGGTAGAGTGTGTGCTTAGCATGCACGAGGTCCTTGGTTCAATCCCCTGCACCTCCACTAAAACAAACAAACAAAAATTTAATTCTTTCCCCCCAGTGGGCAGTTTTTCTTTTAGATTATGAGGTTTCAGAAAAAGCGGGGCCTTCCTGGATGCTTGTTGATTGAGAAATAATTATTAAACATCACAGTACCTAACTTTTATGAAGTACTTACTCCATTAGTACACAGTGCTTCACTTCATTTAATGTTCACAATAACCCAACGAAGACCTGGTTTCAGGATGAGAAACTGAAGCTGGGCCAGGTCAAGTAAACTTGCCTAAAGTTATTGGTGGAGTCGGGGGTCTGACCTCAAGCTGGAGCCCTTAACCTTGAAATATCCTGCAGGCTGGCACAGTCAGCTTGGCTGTGTTCTAGGACATCTGCATTCCTCCAGTGCACCAGCTGACAACAGTGCCCTGGCAGGCGGGGGAAACGAGGCCGTGGGGCAACATCCGTAAACGTGGGCTGGACGGTCATTTGTGTGTTCATTCATTCATTCATTGGGCCTACTTCTATGCCAGCTAATGGGGCCCCGGGTGAGTCAGACCTCGTCCCTGGCCCCGAGGGGCTCAAAGCCCAGTAGGGGAGGCAGGAGAGTGGACGTGTGATTTTCATGTCACCAACACTATAACTCATGTGCAAACAAGGGGCTACGGTTGGTAGAATCTGAGAAGGCTTCTCTGAGGAGGGGACATTTGGGCCTTGAGTAGGAGAAACAATCTGGTTAAATGAAAAGGGGTCATCCCAATACTCACAGCCACTAACATTTATTGGGAGCGTTCTATGTGGCGAGGTGTCTTACTCCTTATAATGGAACCCCTCAGTTCCTCAACTGTCATGATACCCATTTGACAGATGAGGAGACTGAGACTCAGAGAGCTTACTTTTCAGAATTACACTGTGCTTAAGGGGCCAGGAGGGTAGAAGGTGGACAGTGAAAGAAAATGGGCTGCAAGATCAGGGCCAGCACTGGGGTTTGCCTGTCCTCTTTGAGATCATCTGGCTTTGTGGCCTCTCCCAGACTCTGCCCTGATGAGTTAAACA